TCTCTTGGTTTTGGCCAGTGTCTGGTACAAACAAGGAGTTCAGGTGCATTGCCTTTATAGATGTCTGAATTTCATGTATTAACTTTAGGCAGTTCAGTGATGCTTTGTAAGACATCCCAGCTTGAAGCTGATGCGTCAGAGGGGCGACGGGCACAAACTAGAACACAGGAAGTCCCAGCTAAACGTGTTTCCTGTGAGGGTGTTGGAGCACTAGAACAGGCTGCCCAGAGAGGTTCTGGAGTCTCCTTCTCTGGAGACTTTCAAAACCCGCCTGATGTGTTCTTGTGCAACCTATCCTAGGTGAACCTGCTTTAGTAGAGGGGCTGGAGTGGGTGATCTCCAAAGGCTTTGAAACCACTGCCATTCTATGAAAGTGACTGCCTGCCTCTTTCTGATTTCTGTGCAGCACCTGAAATGCAGCAGGGACAATACCAAGCACTATCAAGTGTGGTGAGGGAACTATTTACACAGCTATCAGAATGCATTGACTTTGACATTTAACAGGTGTGATGCAGAACAACAGCTTTCCAGCAGCTCTGATACACCAGCACAGTTCCTCCTTTGGATTTGTACTAGCTCTGCCTTTTGTATGAATGTGTGAGAAGAAGATAAGTAGGAAAGAAATCAGTTTTTAAACGATTACTTGCTTTGTTTCTGGCATTTTTGAGAACACTTCTTGCCCTTTCAATTCATCTTGGAATTTTTTGGAGATATTTTGTTATACCCAAATAATGCAATTGCCAGAACACACTGTGCATCTTATTGTAAAAGAGTATTGTATTTAAGGAACTATACCTTAAACCCACTTCTTTTTTCATTGCCACTGGCAAACAGTATGTTAGTAATGGTTCATTTGCTACTATTCCAATATTGCAGACTAAATGTAATTAGTAGGGTTTTATTTGTTTTTAAGGCAGAGAACATTGTTGAAAGAATTTTCTCACTTTTATTCGTATCATATCTTATTTCAGGAGGAGTACACAGTTCTTGTTGGATGATATTTTTGCATGGTTTTAGGTGTCTGTATTTCCTGAACTGTTTTGAGGTCTGTTGGGAGGACACTGTGGTAAATGGAGGAGTTGCAAAGAAGTTCTTACTCCTTTCATGGCTGTTATTTTAGAGGTGAAAATATATCCTATTGCAAAATCATCTAAAGGGTGTGATAAAACATGGCAAGAAATGAAGATTCAGGGACAGGGTGACCACTGTACTTTGATGTGACAGACTTAGGACTTGAATAACAGCCTTGTAAACTCCTTAAAGGCACAAAAAAAGGGGCAAAAATAGAATGCCTCATTTTTCCCTTTTCTCTTCTGTTTTTCTTCAGCAAGGGAAGAGTATGGTGCCTGAAGAGCATCCAATTAGGCATGAATTATTAATTATTACACTTTTTTTTATGGCACAAGGAGATTGACATGTTTAAAACAACTTTTGTTCTTAAACCCTACTTATTTCAAGGACTTATTTAATGTCTTTGAAGCTGGGGTGTTGGTTTCTTGAACTGCTTTGCATGCTGTTATTTGTTAGTATTGCAATGGAATCTTTAATTTTGTTGCTGGTAGAGTCTCTGGTGTAGTGGTAAACTGAAAATGATCTGTGAATACTCCTCCTATAAATATCCCTTTACTATGGTTTCTCTCCTTAAAATCATAAAATACGGCAATGCTCCCTATCTTTTCTTGTTCCTTTATATCTCCAAAGTAATCTTAATGTTTATTTTACTTACTTCCCCAATGTGCTTCATCTGTTTCTGTTGACCAACATCTGTTACATCTTAAATCGTAAATGCAATGTGGTCTGTCTCCCATGGCCTCTAGCTGTATGAAGAACTCTTCAGCACATCTTTTTATTTCAGGAAAAATGGAAAGCTTTGTTTAAGACTCCCCAGTGATTTACTTCAGCCTGGTGCACATACCTTGGGTGGGGTCCAGGCTGCACTAGGAGCTTACAGAATGAGTGCTGCATGCATATGATTCCACTTATGTATGTGGCCTGTTTAGTAATAGGAGAAGTGAAGATATTATTGAATATTTTCCACTGCTTCCCTTCACTTTGAGAACTTTTCATTTTGAATCCTGAAATCCTTCCACTGGATTTCTAGGAAGCACTAGGAGAGCTCTCTTGTTCAACTGTGGGATCTGTCTCATCATTCTTTTGGGTGACTGCAGCTTCTGTCAATGGCTCGTTGGTTGGTTGATTTTTCCTTTTCCTTTGTTGTTGTTGTATTTATAGCTTATTTTTTTAAGTCTTCTCAATTATGCTTGTTTTCATTGACTCCACTCCAGGTCAAGTATTGGCCATTATGTTGTTTCAGACCTACTTTTAAGTTTAACTAATGGAATTATGAATATTTTCTTCATATTGCATCAAACACGATGCAGAAATGTACATTTCCTGAAGAACAGCAACATAATTTCTTTTTGGTCTTACTGAATTACCATTTGATATGTAGTGATCTTCTGTTGGTTTTAAGTGTAGAAGGAGAAACAGAAGCTGGTCTTTAGATAGCATTTAGTTTTTTAAAGTTTACTGCGTTTTAGGTGAGCATTGTGTCTTGAGTCCCAGATGTCTTACAGTATACAGCACTTTATATCCAGCCTAGTTAAAAAGGTGAATAGTTATTTCATCACAAGAGATTCTGTAGGCTATTTTTAAGGTGTTTTGAAAAGTACTATTATTTAAAAGAGGTTACGCATAACAAACCAGGAATTTACATTACTCCTCCTAAACTGAAGCAGAACAAAATACTAATGGTGTTCTGTGCTGCATGGGATACTCCTGACAGCCAAGGTGTATTAATTTCCACTCTTCCTTTGCTTTGTGCTCTGCCAGTTGCCTGGTTTCATGTGTATTTGCAGTCTCATGGCAGACTTTTTTCTTTAAAAAAAAACCCCAAGAAAATAGTAAACCTTTACTTTTGGTACTAACAAAGTGCTGCCATTCTGTAGGTAGTGCTTATTCTTATTTCTTCTCCTGAAGCTCTAATCTTGCATTTCTTATGGTTATATGACAGAGGAACAGAGTCTTGATTTTTGGCACCCAAATAACTAAATATTTTTTCTAAAGCTCAGGAACCTCCTTTTTATTTGATATGTAGAATTACAGAATTGCAGTAAATAAACAAGAATGGAGTTGAACTCTTGAACTGTTGATTTTAGTCTGCAGTGACTTCCAGTAGGAAATGCACATAAGCAGTTAAACATATTATAGCTAAATAAAGTCATATTAAGGGGGCTGCTCCTTAGTTGTTTGGTAATGAAAGTACTGAGCATATTCAAAATAAGCTATTGGTCTGTGTTAGAGAATTGCAGTATTTGGGAAAAGCAAGAGCTGTTGTCTTTGGGATTTTTTTTTTGGGGGGAAGCAATTATCTAGCCTAGAAAATAGTCCTTTTTTTAATAACAGATAATCTACACAAACTGTCTGGGATATTTGGAAGATTTTCTTTTATTTGGAGACTGTACTTGTCTTCCAAATGCATTAGTCCTTTGCTAGCGCTACTCCAGTCAGTATTCTAAAATATATTAGGATTTGTTGTGAAAACGCTTCTACCATTTCCTTATCAGTTCTTGGAGCAAAATTACTCATACATAAATCTGCCAAGACTGAAGGACCAGCACCTCCAATATAAAGAAATCTGTATAGCATAGTGGTTTTTTTTTTTTTTCTTCCTTTCATTTGGAGAGGGAGATGACTATAATTTTACCTTGAATAGTTTCAGTAAAGTATAGCATTAAAGTATTGTAGCACTGGGATTTCATTTAAAGAGAAGAACTTGAAAAAAACTTTTGAATGCTTTTTACATTTGCTTTAGATGTTCGTGTTGAATGTTTAGGGTATTAATGGCACATAATTTTGAAGTCATGTAGAGCAAAGCAGAAAAAGGAGAAATACTTTTCTAAGTCCTTAAAGTTATGCTTTACAATCAAGACTTGCTAACTCTTGATTTAGGCAAGATGCCATGGGATTTGTTTATCAATATTTTTATGGCAATTCTTAATGATATCTATATATATAAAAAAAAAGTTTTCTGTGAATTATGAAGATTAATGAAATCTACTGTCATTTAGGTTTGAGTCCTATGATGCCTGTATTCTCTTGCTTTCCTTTTCATTTCATTCATTGTCTCTTGCTGCTACTGCCATAAGCCTGCCTTCTTACCATGTCCTCTGTCACCTTGAGTCACTTTCAGTTCCTCCAGTTCTTATCTAGACTCCATCCCTCCTGTTGTCTAGGTGAAACATATCCAGTTTGTGTGTGTTTCCACTATTAAGATTCTGTAAGATACCACTGACCTTCAAGCATGTCTTCATAACAAATTTAGTGCATCCAGAACTTCCTTTTAAATGTGGCACATTTAACTCAAGTGTAACAATTAATGAGCAAACAAAACCCATGTGGCTCCTTCAGCCTTGTTTCTGCTAAGGTGCTAGTTGTGTTTGTTATTCATATCTAGAGCTTAAGAAAGACTAAATATTGAATACAAAGAGTTTTCTTCACAAAGTGGATTAGTGCTGTTCACTTGGTAAAAATAACTGTTGGCATGCTTTCACAGACTATAAAGATGAGATGCAGTGTCATGATAGAGTTACTTTGCAAGAGATGATTTAGTGGATAGTGGTAGTCATAATAGGAGAGGAGAAGGGAGAAGACTGAAATAAAATATATGGTAATATATGATTTTAAAATTTGTCTATCTATTTAAAGTTGAAGTTATTCATTATTGAACTAGCAGGCCCTTAAGATGGAATATAGTAACACACTCTTGTCACGACTGTCACACATCTAGATTTTAATACCTGTGCTGCCTAAGGTGGTGTGTGACTGCTCTGAGGAGATGCACCTGATGGTTGCATGTGCTGCAGAAGCCATGTGCAAGGAAGCCATGCTACTGCCGATGTACTTTGTGCCTGCCTTAATAAAGGATACTACAAAGAGCTGAGTGATTTGTTTCTTGCTTTTTTTATGTAAACGTGCAATGTTTCTGTGTATCTTTTCAGCTCATGGAAAGAACCGACACAGAGTACTACACTCTGGATGACATGTTTGTTTCCAAAGCAGCCAAAAGAGCGCGCAGTGGGGAAGAGGAAGAAGTGCAAAGGAGAAGAGCAATACACGAGCACCAGCAGCTTGCTGCGCGCATGGAAAAGTGCCCACACTGCTTTGATAGCAGTGAACTTTCTAAACATCTCATTATTGCAATTGGCACCAAGGTAAGAAAACAGCAATTTAAAACAAATGTAAAAATAAACAAGAAATAAAGGAAGGCAGTGTTGATGTTAGAGTGCCTAAGATTAAGAATGAAATTGCTTCTATGAAGTGATTTATTGTTTTCCGCCTTATTTTCCTCGTCCCCCCAATTGATTTCACAAATTCCTCAAGGCTGAGGGAGAAAAAGATAAAAATCTGTCATGAATTTTAGAGCTAATCTTTGGTATCAGAACTTCACTTTTGGGGATTTGTGGAAGACAGGAGCAATAATGAAAGATCTGAGTGTGGAGATTAAACTGTAGATGGATTTGTGGAAGACTAAATCACACTGCACTAGAGGAAATTTGAACTGGTGAAGAACTGTATCTCAGTGATGTCAAAGAAAATGAAGCAAAGAGTTCAATTTTTAAGCCTAAAATCTCAAAATAGTCAGAAGTTTGTTTTGGGGAACCTGCCTGTTTCTGTTAATGCTTTTAGAAGTGGGATAAATATTTGGATTTATAACATCTGAAATGCTTCAGTATTGGCTTTTTTTGGCATTCTTTCTCCAAAGTTTTCATTTATTACTGATGGTTTTAATTTTATTTGAAATTTTTTATAGGTCAAAAAATTAAATGCATAGATATATATTACAGTACATGGCATTTATTTTTTTATATAGATACAGGTGTGTATCTCTGGGTGTATAACTGTGTATATATCTGTGTTTTTAACACTAGACAAATGGCACTTCTGTTTTTGTTTTTCGTAGGTATACTTGTCCCTGCCAAGCAGCCAGTCCCTTACTGAAGGTCACTGCCTGATAGCCCCTCTACAGCACCATACTGCAGCCACTCTTTTGGATGAAGACATCTGGGAAGAAATCCAGGTCAGCTGAGAAACAATCTCATGTCATTGTCATAAGTACCTATTTTCAGCATTTCCAGCCTGGCAGCTCTTTTCTGATTCCACTGACAGGCAGAACATTCTTGCATTATGGATGAAAATTAGTGGTCAAATACTGAAAAAGGGAGATATGTGGTAAATGGTGAAGACAAGTTTCCGTTTATAAGCAATAGAAAAAGTTGCCTGCAGTGCCACAGAACCTCTGTTGTTGGAGGTCTTTGAAACATCTGTTGGGGATGATGTTAGGTACAGCTGATCCTGTGCAGAAAGTGTAATAACTGGCTTCACAAATAGGATTTCCTTGGGAGTGCCAAGGAAAAGAAAGGGATTGTCAGGCAGAAAGATCACTTACAATGAAACACAAGCTGAAGATATGTTATTTATCTGGGTTTTGGGTAGATGTCAGCTGAGAGAGATCTATCTCGTTTGTCTTCAAATCAGTGAGGTCCCTGTTAGAATCCAGTTTCCTACTTTAAAAAAAAATTATTAGAATAAAGTGCCAAGCATGATGGTCACACTTTCTAGCTCTCTTATGAAGGCCTTTTGAAGGTTTTAAGTTCTGTTTTCTTTGGAAAATGAAAATCAAAGGAAGAGTGTAACAAGCTTCTGCTTCATCTGTGATTGTTAATCCCTACCCCTGTTGCCATCAGGATTATTACAAGGGGAAAACAGTTTTCAACATCTTATATGAAAATATTGGAGATTGTTTCAGACTAGAGAAAGGTTTTGTTGCTTGCGTTTGCTTAGATTTAAAAACAGGTTAATTCATAAGTCTGAAATGGTTGAAGTACCATAGGTGTCCTGGCTTGAGTTAGAACTAATTCTGTTCAGTGATTTTACTTTTTAGCTGAGTCTCTTGTAAATAACTCCACTTTCTGAAGCTAACAGCATGTTTTTGCAGATAGTGTCTGCTTCTAACAGTGATAACACTTGATGTTTAGAGCTGCTACCAAGGTCTGGTATGCAGACCAAGGTCACTGCTAAATCCTGTATACCACATTGGGCGATGTATAAAGTGAAAGGCTGCAGCTGTGGGGAGGAGCAAACAGGACAGGTGACCCTAAACTGACCAACAAGGTATTCCATCCCATATCCAGCATATTCAGTATAAAGCTGAGGGATCATGAGGGTCAGGCTCTCTTCTCCTATAGCTGGTGTTTGAGGATGACTGCCCATTGTTCTGCCTTCGATACTGATCCATGTGTTTCTGAATCCAGTTCCAGAATGATCCATTGACCTTGTGAATATATTCATAGTTGGTTGAAACACTTCTTTGAAACAAAGTACTTTGAGAGGTGATGAAAACAGATAATTTTTTCCCATTTATTTATTTTCATCTTCTGTGTAATTCAGTAGGGGGAGTCTTGAAGGCTTTAGCAGGATTGTAAGCATACACTTACTTAGTGACTGAACTAGTTTTTTGATGCCAGAGCCATATTATATATTGCAGGGAGGAAGGGGGGAATTATCACATTTTCAATATTCATAAAGCGTTGTATTTTATTGAAATATTTTTAGTGGCATTTTTTTAACAAATGTTGGAGTAAAGCAAGAAGGGTTCTTTTGTATTCTGTGCCTTCAAGTACTAGCATTTAACATATCGTGTTTTTTAGACTGATGTGCTCACTTTGCAAGGTAAGTACGTAATTTTGTAAAGATTTATATCTTTTCATATTTATGTTTTGTATTGAGCGAGCTCTTACATGTATCAACATTGTGTGCATCTGAACATAAGCCAAGCCCTTTTATTTGCTCTTACAAATGGTTTTATCTTTTCCAGGGCTAATTATCTTTGACATTTTGGTCTGCTCAGAATTTAGAGGAAAGCACAATGTATTTAAAAACAAGAAAATGCAGTCTGGGAAACATGAGCTAACCTGTGCAGATATTGTGGGCTTTTCAGTGGATTTGTATTTCACTTGATACTGCTGGGTAGCAACTGGAAGTAATGGTCAAGCCATGAGGTCAGGGCCAAGATCTGCTAGGTGTATGGCTGGGCACAGACGTGCCTGAAACTTCGCTGGTTTAAACTGTGTAATTGGAAAGGGTAGTGAAAGGGTAATGAGATCTGTACTCACTACAAGCCAGGACATTACTTTCTTCTCAATTACAAGCCTCAGATCTACTGTTAAAACCATGTTGGTTTATGGAGCATCACAGTTATGAAGTTCAACATAGCTTTAATTTCAACTGTTGAAATGTGGTGTTTATTAAAACTGAGTTTGTGGTGTTAGTTATGAGTATTTCACAGTAGTTTTCTGGACTTCTTGTGTTTATATCATAGGAAATATAATTAAATTGTTGATTAATGCAGAATTTTCATGGTATGATTGTGGCTGTTATCCATTTTATTGCAAATATGTCAGTGAAATAATATAAAATATTATACAGTAAAGCTTTGAAAAGTGAATTCAGAGTCTTCCTTTTTTTTTTTTTTTTTTTTTCTTCTTTAAACAGATGTTCCGAAATGCATTGGTGAAAATGTTCGAAGCTAAAGATCTGGACTGTGTGTTCCTAGAAACAAACATGAGTATGAAGAAAAGGTATCACATGGTATATGAATGCATTCCTCTTCCAAAAGAAGTAGGAGATATGGCTCCAATTTACTTTAAGGTACACAAAAATGTGTTTTTCTTGGGCCATTTTAATGTATTTTTTCGTAATTCATCTATTTCTGGAAAACTTTTTTTTGATATTAAAGTACTATTTGTGAAAAGGTGGAATGTTTGATCCTACTTCTTGATCAGTTCTTTGATCGTATTCCTTGATCTTAAAACAAGCCCTGTGAGTTAATTCTGTTTTTCTGGTAGTCAGTGGAAGAGCTGTGTGTCACGGGGCAATTGCCTCAAGTCTGAGTGCACTGACAAACACTGGAGGAAGCCAAGAGAATTGTAGTTTCTTGAAGTGCTTTAAGGATTGCAGTACTTCTCACGTAAGGCCTGTAGTATAAACTTAAAACCCTATACATATGCATTGGTAAACATAAAATGAGAAAATAATGTCAACTGTGTTAAGAAATACCAATATATAATGTTTCATCCCCATTTTATTTCAGTAAATCTGAATTTCACATGTGTTTTTGCTCTCTGATCAACAATAGAGAGCATGGTAGAGCTGTTTTGTATAGCTTTTCTGCTCTGGGTGAAGCTATTGCCTGGAACTGAGGTCTTTCTATTCTCAGCAATCTCATGATATGCCTTTTATAAGTATATTATTTTATTTGCTCTTTGAAATATTATTTTTGCTTTCTGGAAATTAATGTGATTGGTTTTTTGATGAAGTGGAGCAGTCAGTATGATGAACATGAATCCAGTAAGTTTTACCACATTTGAAACTCTCCACGTGGTTGATTTCATTGCTATGGTTCAGGTGTTTTGTCTGAAAGGAAAGACCAAGTACAAGATTTAATGCAGAGTCATTTACATAAAACTTACTTTCAGAAGTTTCCACCATTAAAATACACAGCAAATGAATTTTAAAAGATGCCTGCACTAGACTATACTCACTTCTGCACTCTGGAGGATACAGAGGCAGCTTTAAAGGTTTTAAAGTGCCATCAGCCTTCTAAGTTGGATCCTCCTTTTAGTGTTTAAAAAAGAAGAAAGGCTAATATAGTGTAATGAATTCATATGAGGTTTTGTACGAGCTTAGTAGAAAGAGAATGTGACCTTTTAGTTGAAACTTGTTAGAGACAATTGTGTGTCAGCCAAAAGTTAAATTTAAAAAAAAAAAAAAGAGTGGAATTAAGTGAGTTTGAAGATATTATACAATGCCTTTAAAAAGTATGTAAGTTAAGGAAATCAGAAAGGTGCAGAAAATAAATCTACTTGGTCAAGAAATAATTGGTACTTACAGTGCCATGTACTTCACTACATTGAAAAGTTAGTTCTTTGCTTGCTGTATGAAGAACTACTTTCACATTTAGATAAAATTATTTTACAGAAAGCTATAATGGAGTCTGATGAAGAGTGGTCTGTGAACAAGAAGTTAATTGATCTTTCTTCAAAAGATATTCGGAAATCTGTAAGTAATGAAATGTATTGAACACTGAATTTCTTGGCAAATTCTTCTCATCTTTTTTAATTATCAACGGTTTCAAAGAGAAGAAAGGGATCACAATTAGATTAGTGCATCAGGAGATGGCATAGGTATGGTGAGAATTAAGAATCTGACTGAACTCCTAACTGACATTAGAGAAAAGATCCCCATTTATTTCAACAATTGGTGAACTGAGCTGCAAGTGTTGGTTGAGAACAAAGCTGGCACTTTGAGAACATGCACCAGCATAATTCTCTTGATTAACTTTAAGAATTAAGGTACATCAAAGATTTGCAAATTACTTTCATGGAAAAAATATGGTGTCTTTTTTTCATTGACCTAGAAATGCCTTCTGTGTTGCTGTGTTTATGAAGCTAAATGTTAGCGACTCTGGTTTAGTCACCAGTCCAAAACTCAGCACCACCTGGGCGGCTGTGACAAAAATTAACTCCATCCCAGTCAGACCAAATACATTTTACTTAAGGTGTCACCTGCTGACCCATTTTTTCCTTATTTAATGTGTGTTTTGTTTTTTTTTTTTTTAAATTTAAAATGTTTTCTATTTCTTGCTATGCTACATTGCCCCTCTTTGTTAAATCTTAATAGAGAGTGAGTTTTCAAGCAATACATGGAACATGCCTTGTGAAAATTGCAGTTTTATTTGGACTGTAGCAGAGGAAATGCTTATAAATTTGAGCCTTTGTAAATCTTATCTGTAAAGAAATGTCCTCAGCAATTAAAGACTGGAAAATAACGTGTTGCAGTGAAACAGCAGAAATTTCTTGCAATACAGAAGCAATAAAGGAATCTACTTCTCACTTGTGTCAGACTGAAGGGTCTTTTCTTGTAGCAGGATAAACAGTGTCTCCTCTGTAGGCTGACTGAATTATTAAATTATCCAATTTGACAAGTTAATGATAACTTCTAGTCATGTAGTGGGGTTTTCTGGTAGTATATTCACAGAGGTGTTTCCCCTTCCCCCTGGATGTCAGTGTTTCTACTGGGTCAATATTTCCTGTTATCACACAACTCCTTATTTTTAGTAAATGCAGCTTGCTGGTGATTGTCCTAAAATTTCTACTCAGCCTATGTAATTCAGAGGTGTGGAGGCAGGAAGGCATTTGCTCAGTGTGCATGCTGCTGTCTGGTCTCTCGCCATCTCCTACCTGGTGCTGCAGTGGTGGCTTCGGGAGGTCCTGCCAACCAAGAAATCACCTTTCAGTTTTCAGTCTTTTTATTTAGCTGTTGTGTTGTTCTCTCCCCTTATCTCATTGTTTTACTGTTTCTCTGTTGCAATTTTATACTTCATTTACTTGGTTAACATAGGTTAGTTAACACAGGTTAAGTAAATGCCTACAGGCTGCTAAACATCTAAAAATGTGGTTTTGTGTGTATAGGTTCCTAAAGGATTACCATACTTTTCTGTGGACTTTGGCCTTCAAGGAGGATTTGCTCATATCATTGAAGATCAAAACAAGTTCCCCCATTACTTTGGAAAGGTATTGTCATGTAAAAGGTCAATTTACTAATTATAGCCTGTTTTGTAAAATTTGCATAATTGTCAGATATTGCCATAACAGTCATTTTGATGTACCTTATCCCAATTTATTAGTTGGCTTTGCTTGGTGAGTCATCATAACTTGGCTTGTTGAATAAAGGAGTAGCTGATTTCTTCACTGGCTGATACTGAGAATGTGATTCTAGATCTGTGTTTCTTTTGAATTAGTTGGAACTCAAAGTATTTGACATATAATCCAATAGATGGAAAGTATTTGCATCTATTTAAGAGTTTTCATGGCATTAGTATTCTCATAGAACTGCACTGACTCCTGCTTGTATATATGAAGGTGCATATACACACAGAGTCTCAGATGGCTCCTAGAAGAATATGTGTGTCGTTACATTACTCCATGTGGTATAGAGAGTACAGTGTATATAGGAAGAGCTGCACTAAATTCTTCCTTTCTTTATTATGTTACAGCAATAATTTATTGAAAAAGATAATATTGCAGAAACACTAAGAGTAATTGGGGAGAAATAGAATGTACTTCAGAAGGAGTTAAGAGCAAAGTGGGCAGCTTTTATTTTTTTCTGTACCTTTGTTTTGGTCACAAAAGTACTGGTCTATTAACAGTTAACAATGTTAGGATATTTATGTAGTGCATTGCTATGCTGTACTTCAGTGTTTGCTGAGTCAACCATTTAACCACTACAGTTCTAATTTTTTAATTGGCATGTTTTTCAGAATTTCAAGCTTAATAACCAGCACTCAAAGAGAACAGTGACATATAATCTCATAATTTGGAAATATGCATTTCTTTATTTTATGGTAAAATAGTATTAACATAGTAATTTTGCATTTATCATTATCTTTCTTCTACTTGAAAAGGAAATTATTGGTGGCATGCTGGACCTGGAACCACGGCTCTGGAGAAAAGGAGTCAGACAGAACTTTGAGGATCAGAGGAAGAAGGTGTTGGAGTTTGCCAAGTGGTGGAAACCGTATGACTTTACCAAAAAGAAAGAATGAGTACATCCTTGCAGCCAACGACTATATAAGCCATGAAGTATTTTACAGGATATTTGATTTGTTAACACTAGTGTATTATGTATTGTTTATGTATATTAAAGCCAAGGATATTGTTTAATTGCTGATCACCTGTTTCTGGTTTGGATGCTGTGGATCACAGGAACACATAAGCCTGACAAACCAGAATTGTACAGTGGTTTAGGTTTTCATTTTTTAGCTGAGCCAAAAGAGAACTGTCTGTATGGCCATTTGAATTCTTCAAAATGCAGCTTCTGCATTTGGAGGTCTTATAATCTTTGAGGCAACTGATTTTTTTATATTGTACTTATCATAGAACCACTGTTTAATTATCGTGGTTACTTTTTGTAGAAAATGGTGTACATTTTAAGAACATTTTGATTAATACAAACACATTGTTGCATAAAGAAGCTGTACAGAAAATAATTTTCTGCTTTTGAGTCCTTCTGTTCTTTGAGGTCATTGCAGTAACACATTCACAGAGGATGTGATTGTTCAACCTGCTGCTGCCCCTGTGCACAAGAATTAATGCTTTTTTTAATATATTTTCAAGATGGAGTATTTTTCAAGCTGAACTGTTGCACAAAAGATGGGGAGAGTCAATAGCTGGTCACAAATGACAGCTGTCATGGTAACAATTACTTCTGATGACAATAAAAAACAGAAAAGAAAGAGATGAGAGTAGAAGAACCTCAAAGGAAAAAACTCTCCGATGGCCAGCAAAGAAGAAAATCATAAGAGGGTTCTCCCCTGGGCATCCCTTCTAGAGTGGAAGGTGCTCTGCCATAATACTTTTCCAATAATAACTATATGGTTTTCATCAGGACCTGCTCAGAAGCTCCCTGTTGGTTGTTCCTGCTTTTAGTGATGCTGTTAGTGCTGATTGGAGCACACTCTGATCAGAGGCAAGAGTTGCACGTTGATTGATTCTCACATCAGTGTCAAACACTTTCCTTGGGAAACCTGATGTAGCAGGCTCGTACTTTGCAGGGGCAGAGCTGGGAGAACAGAACAAGGACAGAAGGACACCAATGGAAACATTGCCATGGCATCCTCCTGGTGCACAGGGGAATGGATGCAGGCTTGCAAACAACAGGCTGAAGTGCTGCAGGGGAAGGCTGCACATGGCAAGCGGAAGGCCCTTAGCACAGAAACATCACAGAATCGTAGAATGCTTTGAGTTGGAAGGGACCTCAAAAAGTCATCTAGTCCAACCCCCCTGCAGTAAGCAGGGGTATCCCCAACTAGATCAGGTTGCTCAGAGCCCCATCAAGCCTGACCTTGAAGGAGCCAGGAGAGCTGAAGCCTTTGTGCAAGTGTCTTAGTGTGTTTCCTGTTCTCTT